TGAGTGAAACCTTTTTACATTAGTGATCATTAATGTAATTAAATTTAAAATTAATATAATTAATGATCATTCCTTTAAACCTAAAGCACAAACATATATAATGTCCTTTAAAGAAAAAAAGGTTTATTATTTTTAAAGCATGTAACTGCTTGATGTTTAAATCTAAAGAAAATATAACTAGAAAAAATTCCACGCGGACCAGGCAGCAGACGGGACTCGAACCCGCACCCTTCGCAATCCGGGCGAATGCACTGACCACTTATGCTACCGCGGCCCTCACGGACCGCGTCGAAACTCCTTCTAGCCATTCTTAAGCTGCAAGGCAGCGCCATCCCTTCGCATTATAGGTAAACCCACAATGTCAAATGAATACTTTTACAAGTATTAAACATTTGAAAGAAGAAATAGCAATTATAGTTACTATAATTGAAAAACATTTGAAAGAAGAAATAGCAATTATAGTTACTATAATTGCTATTTCTTCTTTCAAATGTTTAATACTTGTAAAAGTATTCATTTGACATTGTGGGTTTACCTATAATGCGAAGGGATGGCGCTGCCTTGCAGCTTAAGAATGGCTAGAAGGAGTTTCGACGCGGTCCGTGAGGGCCGCGGTAGCATAAGTGGTCAGTGCATTCGCCCGGATTGCGAAGGGTGCGGGTTCGAGTCCCGTCTGCTGCCTGGTCCGCGTGGAATTTTTTCTAGTTATATTTTCTTTAAAAAAAGGTTTTACAATATTTACGAAAATAAAAAGATATTGAAGTATTATCATTGTCACTTGCACCCTTATAAACCATAGAATAAAAATACATGTCAGTAGTGCAATATTTGGATTTGGCTCCTTGTCAATACGAATAAAATAAAAATAAACATTAAACAAATTAAATTTTGATTACTTTTGATTCACTTTTTATTTTCTAAATATCTCTCTTATATCTTATAGTACGAGTACCTTACTAAAAAATCCAAATGTGTTAAAAATTATCATCTGTCTGCGTCCAGTATTTATAGAGCAATAGACAACAAAACAGTTATTTTATTTTTCCTGAAAACTTACATTTTTATACTTATAGTTATCTTTTTATTCTCCGGGGACGATGAAATATCGTTATTTCGAAGAAAAAATGTAACCTGATTTCTTTATAATTTATTTTGGACTACTTACTGTTTGGAGTCAGTACTTATACAGTATTTAGTTAGTGGCTTTATAATACCTACTATTAATTTTATTTTTGTCTACATCTATCTACATGACTGTACTGTGCTTAACAAAACTGTTAATAAGGTCCAACTGGCAGTAGGGTATAATCTTGAAGGTCCAATGGGCACTTAAAAAGAGGTCCAATGGGCACATTGAATATAATTTTTTTAAGGAGGTCCAATGGGCACCAAAAATGAGGTCCAATGGGCACATTGAATGTAAAATGTTTTAAGAAGGTCCAATGGACACCAAAAAAGAGGTCCAATGGGCACTTTTTGCATTTGGGTCGAATCTTGAGGGTCCAATGGGTACTAGACCGGCCAAAATGGCTCGCAGATGGGAGATTTTTTGCCGTCTTATGTGACACTTATTGTTATATTTTGGCCAATTCACTCAATAACTATATTAATTATTATATATATGTTATTATCATGTATGAGCTATTTTACTGTTAAGTTTCATTAAAATCCATTCAGTATTTTTTAGATGAAATAGTAACAAAGATCCATACAAACGTAAGATTGAAATTAAAAGTGCAAGTGGTTAATATACAACTTTTAAGCGTTGTAGATCCTAAACAATCATATAAAATGAAAAATGGTGTTAGGAATCTAAACATGATTTTTGATTATCTAGACACTCGAAATATTTTGTCAATTTATTTTTTTACTTCATCACAATATGGCGCCTAATTTTGCTCATATTGAATTTTGATTACTATCATATCTTTAGTAGCACTCCCATGATTGAGACGAATCGATTGTTGTATGAATCATCAAAATCGGTCCAGGCGTTTGGTCTCTAGTGTGCCACAAAGGAACAAACATACATATATAGACTGTTAAACACTATACCCTGTCTGCGCGTCGCGCTTCGCGCTTTTGCATTGCGCAGTCGGGTAAAAAGAAAGAAAGTCTTACTAGAACTATTGTCTCGTGCAATAAATCCAGGTAGGCAGGTCAGTCCATTTCAGTAACTGCATATTTTTCACTTTATTTTATTAGATAATTTATGTTTTTTATTTGACATAACTACGTACTACACATATAGAAATTAATTTTAAATGCAATTGTATTTAAAAAGTGTTACATAATTGTAATTAATAATAATAATTGTAAAAGTAAGGTTTAGTATAATATTATTTTCAATAGGTGCATTAAATATTCTCATTCTATAGCGGTTGACTTAGAGATTTTGAACTTTTTCTTTTTCTATTTTATTTTCCACTTTTTATAAGCCTTAGCAACATCACAAAAAAACATACGAATTGAGAACATCCTCTTTTTTTAATGTGGTATCCAATAGGCCGAATCCACATATGCAATTCAATGTGCTAAAATTTAGCGTATTCTCCATCGCTTTGTTGTTCTCGATGGACCAGGTGTTGCAAATTCATCGTCTGTAGTACCAATCGAAACGTCAGAGACCGGTATTTCGTCTACATCATGAGTCTATTACCTATAGTATAATATAATATCTAAAGTCAGTATAGTTTAGCTTTACATTAATCTTATAACTCACAAATATAATGAGTTGAAATTAAATGCCACAGGTTGCATGAATAATGAGTAATGACCAATGCACGCGTTGGAGTACACTTTGCGGTGCTCGTACGCCAAAACTATTGACTTTATGAAAAAAAAAGGTAGATACATAAATTGTAAGCAATTGTCTCTAGTTTCATTTTGTGTCAATTGTTTTTATCGTAAAATGAGTTGGAAAAGATATATTGTGAAAAAACTGGTTTTAGGCGCCATTATTCCAATACGGCGGCGCGAGCGACAAAAATACGAGGTGGCAAATTCGAAATTCGGAAAGAGCACCTTAAAATATATAAAATTACCAATTTTCAAAACTCCCGGAAAACTTTCCAAGTAAAACTACCAAATGACTGTACTATGGTCTCTTTAATTTTTGCTGATCGCAGGAGAGTTTCATAAATAAGCAGAGGCACAGTGATCATACTATGTACTTGCTTAAAAGAATTTCACTGCCGCCTAAAGCTCTCTGTATTATTTCGCGATTATCTTAAAAACTACGAACAAGACCGACCAAGTGCGTGTCGGTCACGCGCACATAGGGTTCCGTAGTTGCCCATTACATTACCGGCCAACTTACAGGTCCTTTCTACCTATTTAACACAACTAATAATGTAAAATGTAATATTATTTTATTAACTTTTAATGAAATTTGTTTGTTTTTACTAGTGATCATAATCCTGAAAATTGTAGTCATCTTAGTTTTAGCTGTAATTGTTTTCATTGATATATTCACAAGTCCTGAAATTAAGCTTAGAAATGATTATCTTTTAGCAAAATCGTGTATAATAATTGGTGAGATTAATATTTTACAAAGGGGTCCCTAATTCGGTAATAGTTTAGTTGACCCTTTTTGGAAAAAGGTTTTAAATTAAATGGTTAATAAATTCTAATAAATACCACGAAAAATATAGTAATTATCATTATTGTATTATACGAGAATGTAAAAACACATCCTTGAAGACTCCAGGAAAGTTGTGGATTAAAGTGCCGAAAGAAATTAACCTACGCAATACTGATCTGATCCTGCAACTTTATCGACTCATAGTAAAAATTATTTTTGGGAAGATGACTTTGATGTAAGTACTCATTGAATAATATTTTAAGTCTCTTCATTAATTATCAGTTTTAATAACACAAGTTTAACACCCACAATAACACGCGAATGACATTTAGTTGTTTACTACCAAAGAGACGTCACAATCATAGCGGATGTGATGTGGCGAACAGCGTTTTTAGTGTTTAAAAAGTATAGACTAAAATTTTTTTTCTAAATTAATTTTCTACAGCAATCTTCCGCTTTTAAGTGAAATCGATATATTTAGGTTCCTTAGACCAAATACTTTAAGAAATAAACATTTATTTAATACAATTCGACATGCATGATACTAGTAGGTACCCGCGACTTCGTCTAGGAGGTTTGTATGGTTTTCCATGCACTACTCTAGGTACTGCATCCCCTTTCACCCACTTTGTCAACTAGCCTTTTGTATTTACAAAGACCTATTTAAGAAACCACACACCTTGGAGTAAACAATAACAAAATTAAAACTAGCACTTTACGTGATTTTATTAATCAAGATTTGAATTACCACTTCGTCGACGTGGATAGAACATACCAATTATCAGTTTACCAGCAAGTACCTACCTACTAGTCTCTGAGATAAGACGCGGAAAAGCGGACGAACATAGAGAAACTATAAGGATTCCTTGTTGACTAAGGAACCCTAAAGACAATTAATTGTCTTTAAGCGAGGGCGAGTCACTGGTACAAAACAATAGAGACATATTTTTTAAGTAATTGAATATCAAAAGTATTTTTAATCTGGAGTAAATCCAGATTAACAAAGATTTGGCCTTTAAGATACCTAGGTATTATTTAACTTATGAAAATATTAAATGCTATCAGTTTAGATTTCAATCTACGTTTACATTATTAATTGACATTTGCGTTGCATCGCCGTTACATTCTCATCGTCATCACATATAAAGAAAATAATAAAAACTGAATAAACTAACAAATATACTTAATGATTGAACGTCGGAAGCAGTTAGAATCCTTACTGCGGGTTGTAAAACATAATTAAACCGAACTCAGTTAATAGATGCCGTAACTGTCAGAAGTAACTGTATAGGTACAAATACAACGCGATCGCAATGTTATGAAGAGATCGTGGCGATGTGTGGGTGCGACAGTGGCCGGCCACGCCACGAGTAGACGGACAGAATACCCACAGACGTCGCACGCTACAGACACCCACCTTTGCAACGTGAGTTGCGGCGGCCTCGCTCGCTCTGACGATCGCTCATAGCGAACGACTCCTTGAAATGCATCTTCCGACACCACTCCACACTCCATCCACATTGACGTGTATCATGAGCTATAATACACAATCCTAGCACTGCCACCACCGACACGTCACTATATCTACCGACCGAAAGATGTAAACAGATCTCGTCACCCGCCGCGGCTCGCACTTGTTACGTTTTCTGCGTGAACGTGCCACATTTCTACAGACCGGCCGAAAGTTTCATGTAGGCGGGAACCGATGCGACAATCTGCCTCGGGCGAGGACTGGCGCGCGATGCGAACGGCGGTCGCGGCCGCCTCCGCCGCGAGACCGGACCTCGCGTCTCGGGGGCGAGGATGCGGGAATCGGCTTCGGCGCAATACCCGTCAGGAAAATAATAGGAACACCGAGTGCACCTCAGAGGCGCGACGCGACGCGGTCGGTGCGAGCGAGACGCGGATAAACACCAGACTGTTTACTTACGGTGTTCGAGCGCAGGGTGGTGTGGCGGGGCGAGGGGCAATCGCCTGCAATCCGCGCGCTGCAATTACTGCCTGTACTCACGAATCCATCCCAACTCTAGCCAAAACGATGAGGAATCAAATTCTCGTGATTGATAATTATAATAATTAGAATAACTTGTATTATTCAACTTTTAAGTACCTATTTGGAATTCAGTTCCCATAAGTTTAATAAAAAGTAAAATCAAATCTTTCCATGACTACGACTTACAGGTGCCAAATTTCATTTGAAATTATATATAACATTCACAAAAAATATATAAAACATATACATGTACTTGACAGGTTATCGTAATAGGAAGTAAACAAAGTGCCACTCTCATTTCAAAGCCAGTCTCTGTATAAAAGAAAGACAAATATGCTAAATATAAAGAAAAATAACTCCACAGATGCGGAGCAACGCAAGCAACACCAAACGGTGTGTTGATCCTTGGTCCTATTGCTTAGCAGTGCTGGGTGACGTACGTTTTTATTTATGACTAGGTGACTTGGCAAACTTCGTACCGACATTTTTTTGTGAATATTTTCATAATTTCTGAAAGACTTCTTTTACTTACTATACCTACTTCTAATAATTATCTAATTTGGTTTTTAATCGTTTGAAAGTTAAGCACGTGCGTTCATTTCGGTAATTCATTTTTATTTATATTGCTGATATGTAGTTAAAAGATTTTGTAGTACCAACTTTGAATAGTGTTCCCGATTAGGTATATTATTTAAATACTAGTGGCCCGCCCTCGCTTCGCTTCGGTGTAGAGCTGTAGTGTAAACTATAGTTTTTGTTCTCAGGCTTGTGCTATAAACAATGACTTTATTTATATAATTACACGTGTTATTGTGAGTCAACCATAAAAGATAGACATATGCTGTTGCGGGATATTTTTTAGACAATTTTATGTAGAATATTTCCGTCATACATGATTTCTATGTAACTTTAACCATTAAGGCTGCACACGCGACGGAAGCTTAAAAAATGTAGTAACTTCTCCCGTTTTCCCAACATTTCCCTTCACTACTCTGCTGCTATTGATTGTAGCGTGATGAAAAGTATACTATAACCTGCCCAGGAGTATGAAGAATAATTGTACCAAGTTTCGTTAACATCCGTCGAGTAGTTTTTGTTTCTATAAGGAACATACACACAGACAGACAGACAGACAGACAAAAATTTTACTGATTGCATTTTTGGCATCAGTATCGACCACTAATCACCCCCTGATAGTTATTTTGAAAATATATTTCATGTACAGAATTGACCTCTCTACAGATTTATTATAAGTATAGATATAGATAATGATGATGGGATTACAAATTATCCGATTATTATTAAAAACACCTTCACGACTCTTTGGAAGAAACACATGGTGTATTCTTTTGAGAAAAAGAACCAGGCAATAAAATGTTACGGAAGTATTTAACGTTTGCTATTCAAAATTGCGTCGAATTTAGGACGACAAACAGGGATCCAGGTGGAGTTAAGTTATGAAGAAAGATAAAAAACGATATGTAGCCACCCACCCACAATACAATGAAGAGCTATTTGACTCAAGGTCAACACGTCTACATTTTCTGACGATTTAAATTGGAGTTTAGTGTTATGTGTGTATATTGTTATCTGTAATGTTTTTTTTAGCCAAGTTTACGAGTGATTGATTATGGTGACGAGTCGATGATCATTTTTGATGGGCTCGCTAGCTAAGCCGTGCATCCATTGAGTGAGTGGAGCTGTTGGTGACTGCATTCCGACGGCGAACGGCTGTACAGAAACTGCGGCCCGCGGCTCACCCCCCCGTCCGTCCTTCCGGCGATCGTCACGTGACACGCCGCCGATTAGCCGCTGAGTGCGCCACCGCGCACGACCGAAATAGAGCGCGCTTACAATCTCGCATCTCGTTCAACTCGAATAAACTCTCACGCCTCTACTCTTCGATTGTCTGCCGCTAGAAGCGAGCCACATGCTTGTTGACGGTTACGGCTTGCGCTTTGCAACGAACCTCCGTTGTCGTCATACGCAACTCCGCAACAACTTTCAAATGATCTATAAGCAATGGCGTTTCAAGCAATTTTCTACTTACTAAAGTAAAGGTTGCGGTAAAAGGCATTCAATAATGTATAACTACTGCCGATGGGGATACGCTTAATCAGATTTAATTTATAACTAGTGGCTGCCCGCAACTTCGCTCGCGTTACGTTTAGTATTTTTGAGCATCCACCACAGGAACCTAACATTTTTCCGGAATAAAAAGTATCCTATGTCTCAATCGTAAACTATTATGCGAACTAAATTTCATCCCAATCCGTTCATTAGTTTTTGCATGATTGAGTAAAAAACATACATTTTTCACATCTATAAAATTATAAGGATAAATATAGGTAAAAGTAGGCAATATTATTTTTTAATTTAACTTTCAAAAAGGGTTTATATGATAACGAAAATAAAAAAAAGACTATTGACGTTATTTCAATTGGTTCTGTTCCTAATTTCGATTTGATTTATTAAATTTTATTTTTTGACGTTACAAATGATAACAATTGTGGGGGTAAATGTGCATGTTAAAGGGTAGTTTACGCTGGAAAGAAATTTACGCGGAGGTGCGATTTTATTGACGCCGAGTGTAGGATTAGTGTTTGAAGTTTTGGAGTGAATATTGTATGATCTTCTTTATTACTCTTAACTTTCGTTACAAGATTTTCTAAACAGTTATAAACGTATAATAAACATACATACAATATGTAGAATTTATTTGTTCCAAATAAATTATTATTATTATTAGGTACTTGGTTTTAGTAGTACAACTACTAACTTTTTCCATGAAACATTAATGAAATAGTACCTTTGTTTACTTTTTTCCGCCGACATTCCCAAATTTTCTATACATAATGAAATGCATAATGCGGGAAATAGCAACAGCTACCTGCATTTTTTCTAGAGAAAATTATTTTCTGAATGTAATAATAGTATTTAAGCAAAAGGACTTCACGAAAAATACATTATGTTACATTTTATCCACGTAAGCTGTAACCACATGTAAGACAGGTACTGCTCTACACGGCAATGTGAATCACCGGATCAGATACGTAATACACCTAAAAATATACCTACCCATACAAAGGATATAGTAGACGGTTTGGTATGTTATATACTTGCACAATGCGAGGTGGTATATAAGCGAGATAGCTATGTTGGAGTTTCTAAATAACGCGTAGAAGCCGAAGGGTCTCATTGTGTGCGAGCACTGTGGGTCGATGGACGGCCGCGGCCCGACACGGCTGCGCTGCCACCGGCACCGCACACGCCGCACCTAACGTAATGACCGCACAATTTACTTAACATTCATTCCCACAAACGAAAACATCATTCCCATCACTTATATTAACTGTAACCACAGTCCACGTTAACGGACGTATGATGAATATAGTGCAGTGAATGTTAACGAACGACCCAATATACAAAAATAGGTCCGTTCGACAAATATAAAACAAAGCGAGGAAATAATGGCAAGCTCCCAATGAGGCAACCCAATATCCAAAGTGAAACAGCAACAGGGACGGCAGATATGTTGTATTGCATGTAAAAAAAACTCTCTTAAAGGTACTAAGCAAATTGATGTTTTAAATATAAATCAGTGAAATTGTTTAAAAATAAAATTTTATTCACCTTGGTTAATTATGAATGCAAGTGCGAAAGTAGGAGACCTTTTTAAATCACGAAGGGCTGCCGCACTTAACAACAAGAAAAAGACGACAGGATCAATACAGGCTGCAAAATGTACACGTGATCGCGTCACTATATAACTCGACCCCTCCCCCTCTCCGACCGCACCTAAACACCCACAACCCCCGGTACACCGATGTCGACACTAAAGGATTTTTCGTTCGTTTGCCCTCTAATTGAAATGTCACTCATATAATATAGCAGAAAGTAAAACAACAGTAGCATTGAACAATTTATACAGACTGGGCGAACTGCGTTAAACTTTCGTCAAGTTCAATCAGAAAAAAATACATATTAGAAATTCGAACATACTCATGTAACAGTAAGTATATAATAGGATGACAAACGCGGCATGAAACCAGTTCCCGAAGGCGAAAGGCGAAACGGGCAAGGCACCGCGCGCCGACTCCTTCGGGACGGCTCTCGAAGAGAAATAATTGAAATAATGAATGACCGTTTTACTCTACAAGATACAACAAAGAGGCAATTCTTTTAAAAGTATAATACAGACATGATCAATATCAATTAATTTTTAATAAAATAATGGTTTCTTTTTGTTCTATCTTCGAAGGTGCTTTTACTGATGGATCAGGTAATAAACGTATAAATTATAGATTCCTTCGACATTTTAGTTGAGCAAGCGCCTTGTAACTTGGAAATGTAGTTAAAATCCAAAAGAAACCAATATAAATCGTAGTTTTGTTGCAACAAATGTTCAATTGAAGAAGATTGAGAAATGATTTGTTGTGATAACTTTGATTCTACGATTCTGGGTTTAAAGATTTATCCAACAAAGGCGTGGTTCTACCAAGGCGCTGGAATCATTAGCGACGTGAATAAGCGATGCGAGGGTGGGAGAGCGAAGCACTCGGCACAAAGGGTTTGCTTGCGGATCTGCTACTCGACGCGTCCGGTCGATAGCGGCCGCGAAAAATGCCGCAGCCTCCGTTTTCAGTTATATAACACCTACCCCCAAGGGAGTGCCTATATTTGTTGTCTGAAAAACTTTTTGCGCGGGTTGCTCATGCTAATAAGTAATAAATAAATGTTTGTTTAATTGAATGATTTCAGTGTACATACAATGAATGATAGCGTTAATATTAGTATCTTCCAAAACGTCTATTATTGAAATTATTTGACTGCCAGTCCCTTAAAATACAATGAAATGATGACTATTATATCATTGAGCTGGGATGAAGCTGAAACTAGCAAATGCATCGAGTAGCAAGACCGTCAGAAAACCTACATATTGAAATCACAGAATAAAATGAAAAAGCGGCCAAGTGCGAGTCGGACTCGCCCATGAAGGGTTCCGTGGCAGCAAGTAACATAATATTAAAGTTCTTGTTAGGGTTAGAAAATAATGGTTCACGGTTTATGCATAAGGTTTATGTTTCTGAAATTTAATATTTTTATATATTTGACTTGATTGAATGAAAGGTAAATTTCGGTTTACGATTTATGACGTATTAAAAAAAATACTTACTAGATCTCGTTCATACCAATTTTCGGTGAAAGTTTGCATGGTAATCTACATCATATATTTTTTTAGTTTTATTATTCTCGTATTTTTGTAGTTACAGAGGGGACACACATTTTACCACTATGGAAGTGTCTCTCGCGCAAACTATTCAGTTTAGAAAAAAATTTTTTTGAAACAATAGAAACCTCAATATCATTTCCGAAGACCTATCCATAGACACCGCACACGTATGGGTTTGATAAAAAAAATAAGTTTCAGTTCTAAGTATGCTGTTTTTCAAAATTTGCTGTTTTTTTTTCTATTTTTGTGTGAAAATCTTAATGCGGTTCACAGAATACATCTACTTACCAAGTTTCAACAGTATAGTTCTTATAGTTTCGGAAAAAAAGGGGCTGTGATATACGGACAGACAGACAGACAGGTTCCGTTTTTGGCCATTTGGCTACGGAACCCTAAAAACACTCACTAAAACAACATTATACCTATATTTGCAG